TAATTATTGGGAAATGCATGGAAAAGACATTGAATGATAAAGCGGGGAGATTGATGTCTCTGTATTGACTGACATGCATGGCATTCCCTTTTGAAAAAGCAATGGAAGTCAATGTAAAGTTATATGTAATCCAATGTAATATAAAGAAGATTATGATGATAATATAAATTAAAAAAAAGATAACCTTTTCTAACTTAAGAAAAAAAAAATGAGTATGGGCTAACTTACGTCTTCCGTAAAATTCACTTATTAAAGTCCTAACCTCCAAAATGTGACTGTATTTGGAGACAGGGAATTTAGAAGGGCCATTAAGGTTAAATGAGGTCACTTGGGAAGAAGGTGGCAATCCAATGTGACCGGTCTTCTTATAAAAAGAGACAATCAGGGCACCAAGAGGCACAGAGGAAAGGACAAGTGAAGATACAGCAAGAAGGTGGCCAGATACAAGTCATACAGAGAGGGGCCTTCAAAGAAACGGACTGTGCCAACCCTGACCTTGCCAGTTCCAGAACCATGAGAAAATAAATTTCTGTTGTCTAAGCCACCCAGTCTGTGGTACCAGCAGTCCTAGCAAATTAACACAGAAACCATTTGTAATGAGCCTTTATGTTCTCTTTTAGGAGTCTGAAATAAGACCTAAGTTTCTCCTGTGGCTAAATGCATGCTACATCATACTCACAACCCCAACAGGAAAGGCCAAGACAGCTAACATCCAGTCCCGGAGAGAGATGAGTTTCTTGAGCTGCCTCTCTTGTTCTTGGTTCCCACTTCCTCTAGTCAGAAGACTTGAAAGATCAGTCAGCACGCAGATGCCAAAAAAGACAGCCTGGATCACCTGTGGGGAGACAGCAGCCAGCATTAGTCAGGAAGGTCAAAGAGACTCAAGCTGTAGAACGACCAAAACATGACATGTTTACAACTGACACACAAGAAAGTTTCAGATGTGCAGCGCATCTAGAGATGGTCCTACAAATAGCAAAAAAAAGTAAGATATTTACAACTTGCCATTATGGGTGAGAAAATTCATCTGCTTCCATTTTCACTCTCCCCAGGACAAGTGCAAAATATGCATGCACACACACACACACACACACATCTAAATAGGCCCAAGAGAAAGCAATATCAATTACCAAACTGGCATATGCATTATCCTAAAGCATCGTGCCTGTGGTCTGGTTATATTGACTGGCAAAGTTTAACAAAACGTATAAGGAGTGAAAGCAAAAGGATGAGGGTACTGTGAGTAATAAACAAGACAGTTCAGCCAAACCGTGAAGAAAGCTTGCCTGTGCTTTAATCTCTTAGGTATTTTCTTGTAAAAAGAAGTGGTAGAAAATTGGTCCTTGAGTCATACAAATATCAGTGCAATGTGATAATCAAGACTGTGATACAGAGCAATGATCCATTGTCAACCTTGGACTAAATGAGCTCTTCAGGTTTCCGATATTTATGAAATAAAATTTTTCCAAGTAACATTGACACAGATACCCATGTCATTTTCCCAAAAGGTACAGTTGTCCATTCCCAAATCAACTATAATATGAGTCACTTATATCAGCTATGTTTTACCTAGACTATCGGAGAGAAAGAGAAAACACTGGAACCAATAATGTGTGAAATTCCCAGCATGGGGGAAAACATAATGACCATCCAGAGCTATGAGTGGAGGCAAGTACCACATTGTAATAGAACTAGGAAAATGTTAATTGAATTATGCAAAGGAGAGATCATGTATTTCCTGGGCTCAACAGCATACCCATTTAGCAGCAAAAATAGATTGTAGGAATTCTGTGGGTGGGTTCCTTTCTTAGGCACAGAATAAAGCATGAGTCCTCAACCCCCAGACTGCAGACCAGTGTTGGTCTATGGCCCGTTGAGGATTGGACAGTGGTCTGGCCCACAGGGCAGCAGAGCAGGGGCTGGGCAGCAGATGAGAGAGTGAGGCTTCATCTGTATTCAGCTGCTACCATCTCTCTCATTGCCCCCTGGCTCTACCTCCTGCCAGGTCAGCGACAGTGTTGGATTTTTTATTGTATATTGCAATGTGGCAGTGATGGGAATGGGATGCATGGTGGATATGGTACACTTGCATCATGCTGGGACCAAGACCCCCAACTCTATCTACAAAGTGATTGTCTTCCATGGAGCCAGTCCCTGGTGCTGGGAAGGTTGGCAACCACTAGAATAAACAAAAATATCCTAAAACACATCTGGTTCCATCCCTTAGAACAGCAGTGGAACACTCGAATTGTTAACTTTGGCTTCTTGGCACTCACCAAATTTTGCTATTATTAGTCATTCTTAGCCAGAGTAATGCTCTATTTTTCTTTATAACTTAGCCTGTCTTTAGCTAAGGTTAAGAAAGGCTTAAGGTTTATTGTCATTCTTTATTCAGCCAGAAAAACCAAAGAATGAGAAGCTGAGAATGCCATAACTGAGAATGATATAATAGAATTGTTGGCAAGAATCATGTTTTGATGACTAAAAATAACTTAAAAGACCCAGGGAATAATTTCATACTCAGGAAAATTTTCCTTATCATTTTTTTAGATTTCAGATATTTTGTATCTCCATGTTAAAGCTAGTGGAGTTTCAGAAACTGAAGTGATAATACAGGGGAATAATAATAATCATCTCATCAAATCTGGCCAGTGCACATATTAAAAGGTATCATCATGGCCAATAACCAGGAAAGTGCAAACGGAGACCAGAATGAGATCACATGGTTCAAGAGATCATTTAGAAGGAGGAGCTCATTTAGTCCAAGGTTGACAATGGATCATTGCTCTGTATCACAGTCTTGATGATCACATTCCACTGATACTTGTACGACTCAAGGGCCAATTTTCTACCACTTCTTTCTACAGGAAAATGCCTAATTGTTTACAACTTAATTTTGGCGAAACCAAGTTTTATAAAGATGTAGAACACTAGGAAGCTTGTGGAGAGAATGCAAATCTATACCACTACTTCGAAGAACTATTGACAATACCTTGTAACTTAAAGATGTATTTGTTCTACATATTTAGTGACTTGGGTATTCCCTAGAAAAAAAAATCTCATACATTTATTGAAAGCTAATTCTAGCAATCATTGCTTTAAAATGGAAATAATCAATATGCTTCTTACTAGTTAATTGGATAAATAAATTGTGCTATAGTCATATAATGGAATTCTAAGCACATTTCAATGTTTAAATTTCACAACAAAATGTTGTGAACATTTTGAACAAAAGAAAACATAAAATAAGGATACATTTTGATGTAATTAAAATAATTTTTAAAACTGTGACAATAAACTTGAGGATACAGGTATAGGATGTAAAATATGTATGATGCATAGGGATGCATAGGAATTAAAAACACTGAATTCAGGCATCTTTAACAAAGTGAGAATAAGCTAGTAGGAAGGTCACAAGGGCCTTAAATTTATTGATAATTTTTCTCTTAAGTTCATTTTTGGGTATATTGAAGTTTATTATATTATTCTCTCTATATTTCATTAGTATGAAATATTTCCAAAGAAATTAAAAATAAAATTTTAAGAATAATAGTTTTAGTATTTTTGGAATATAGTTGCCTAGTCCCTTTCAAATCCTTTCCTTCCAACTTGGTTTCCCTTGGTTTTAAAAACTGATTAATAATAACAGAGTTTGGTGAGCTCATACAGAAACCTAGTGATTATCCTATACATAAAAATTATGCAGGCTTTTTATTATAGGCAAAGGAAACAGAATCTAGGCTTGGTAATGATGAAATATAAATATCTGGAGACCATTGATTTGTTTATACAGCCTCAAAGACAAGGAGACTTGGCAGTGGGTAAATCCAAGAAATAAAGGTTCTTATTTTAGCTATTGCAATACCTTCCAAAGACTAGCGAATTCACCACCACTATACACTTAAAAACACCAGGACATATTAACTGGTATCAGACTTGTCTTCTTGAGACACTTGCCTAGACATTTAGAATAAATATATGAGTCAGCCTTTTCAGATAATGAACTTTTCCCTCTTCAATCAGCTGGAATTTTTTTTTTTTTAAGGCTCACTAGATAAAGTCAAATTTGTCTTGGATAAATCTCCTTCTGCCATATCAAGTAATGTAATCACAAAAGTGATCATAGCCAGTGGTTCTTTTCAAACTCAATATAAAGGGAATATACAAGGATGCGTGTCATTGGAGGTCCTCTTAGAATTCTACATACCACAGCTTTAGGCTAAACAACTCTCAGAGCTTACTCAGGATAGAGAAGTACCAAGGTTCTGACCAATCAAATAGTACAGTCCTCGTTTACTGCAACAGGCATTCAGTAGAAACACACAAAGTTTCATGCCTAAATAGTGGTTATAAAATAACCCTGGAATAAAAGCCAATAAAGATCCCCACTATAATATTTTTAAAAAGCCTCAATAAGATCAAAACCTTCCACAAGTAATTCAAATGCCTAAAAAAAACAAAATTCTACACTCTTTAATAGAAGATAATAAATCCAGATATCCGACAAAATAACACATAATTTCTAACATCCAATCAAAAATTACTAGACATGTCTCTTCTACAGGATGAAGAGACAATCTGCAGAACATAATAAAATATTTGCAAATTATAAATCTTACAAGAAATTAATATCCAAAATTTGTAAGGAACTCAAATAACACAATAACAATAATAAAAACAAGAAGAAGAATCTGATTTTAAAATGAGCAAAATATCTGCATAGACATTTAGCCAAAGAATACATAAAAATAGCCAACAAGTATGTTAATAAATACTTAACAGCATTAACCATCAGAGAAGTGCAAATCAAAACCACAATAAGATTGTTCCCACTTAGAATGGTTGGGACAGACATTCTAACTATCAGAAAGACAAAAAATAACAAATGCTAGGGAGAGGAAAAGGGTATTCTTTTAAACAGTTGATGGGAATGTAAATTAGTACAACCACATGGGAAATATGGAGGTTCCCCAAACAATTAAAAATAGAACTACCATATGACTCAACATTCCCACTACTGGGTATAAAAATAAAGGAAATGAAATCAGTATGTTGAAAAACATCTGTTCCCATGTTTACTGCCTGAAACACACTGGACATGTGTGCATGTGTGCCCAAAATTCCAGGAGGAGAATGGAAGAGAAGGGATTGCAGTGTGTCCATTCTCCCTGGGAAGGGGGGCGGTGATTTCTCTGATTTCTGTCTCTCTCACTCTCTCTTTCTCTCTCTCTCTCTGGCAAGAACACACACCCTAAGGCAAAAACCTCTTTTTAAAAAAAAGAACAGTGATGCCAGCAGGTGGCATGGCGGTTAAGGCTCTAGACTACCACATGGCTGACCATGGTTCAAGCCCCAGACCCAGTGGCTTGAAAAGTCACACCAGGTGTGTGTTCATCAGTGCCCAAAATCCCAAAAGGAGAAGGGATTGTGGCATGGCCATTCCGCCTGGGGGTGATTTCTCACTATCCCTCTCTCTGTCGCTCTTTGTCTTTAGCATGGTAAGTATAAATATACAGTTGGTTAAAAGTAAATGAATGCAAATGTACTAATCATAAGAAAGCTGCAACAGCTATACTAATATCAAAAAACAAGGTTCTAGTTAAGAAATATTACTAAAAATGAAGAGAAATATTTTGTAATGATAAAAACATCATTTCATCAAGAAGACAAAATGATCTTTAATATGTGCATGCCTAATAAAAGACTTTAAAAACAAAGGAGAAAGAAACTGATTTAACATGGGTTTAACTAATCAATAAATGTTCTTTGTATTAATAAATGACTCACTAGGGATCAGCAGATGGTGTAATGGTTACATCGCTGGACTCATGAAGT